CAGGCTGGACTGTGACCCGCCACAAGGCCCTCGGCAACACATGCGAGGAGCTCGCTGTGAGTGGAGCGGCCCGTCCTGCGTGGACCTCCGTGTGCACAGGAAGCCACCACACTGGGAGGCCAGTGTCGGCAAGCGCTGGACAGTCACACGCAAAGTCCAGGCCACCGTCTGGGCTCTGGGCTCTGGGCTCCGGCACACTTCCGCCCCTCGGGGCCCCGAAGGGCCACTGCCCTGAAGCAGGGGCACGTCCGAAGCCGCAGCCCCTGTGCTGGCCAGCGCTGAGGGGCTGGAGAGACGCATGCCCCACACTGCTCACGAGACCTGAGCTGGCCGGCCCGCAGTGTGGGCTGGGTGCCCACCATCTCTGACACACCGCGCCTCTGCGGCCCGGAGCGCCGGCCTTACCGTGGCAGCCGTGGAGGCTGTGGTCCCCGCCGGGACCGTTCGCTGAGGTGTCCCCGTCTGAACAGCCGTCGCCGTCCCAAGGGACGCCGTCTGGGCAGCGCCGCCCAGGACAAGTTGAGGCTGCAAGAACACAGAACACGAGGTAAGTGTGTCGCCTCCACAGGTCACGTGGGCACGGCCTCCTGTCTGTGGAAACAGAACATCCTGTAGAGGGCAGCATGTGAGCAGGAACGGGCCCGGCCTCTGCCAACACGTGAGCGTGCCCTGGAGCCACTCGAGGTGCCAGGCACTCGTGGTCTGACCCGCAGCAGACCACACCTCTGGGGACCACAGTCCTGAGCATGGGGGACACACTTTGCACCTGGGGTAAAAACCCAGACAGGAGGCCGATCCCCGGGAAGCATCTGGCTTTTCAGTCAATGGAGAGTCAGTGGCCAGCCTGAACTGCCTCAGTAACCGAGCCGGTCACGTGTCTCCTAAAACATCCCAGTAAGAGAAGAGCTGCTCCAAAGCATCACCACCCCCTCACCCGACCTCAGCAGGCAATCCACCCTGCAGCGGCCGCCCCAGGTGCGTGCAGGCGGGAGTGCTCCTGGAGCCCTCGACCACCCAAATCTACCTTTCTCACTCTTCCCAGCTGAGTCTTGTGGGGAGCCGCACAGAACGAGGGGCTCTCAGAGCAGACCTGGGAGCAGGGTGGGCCGCGGGGAGCTGCTATTTGCCAAACAAATGAACATTTGCTCCTCAAATGAACAGCTCGCCAGCCAACACCAGCTCGGGCAGCCTGGCCCTCCGTCAAACCCGAGACTCCCTCTCTCCATGAGCAGTCACGGCGCACACACTCACTGAGTTTAGCAATTAGTACTGTTCCGACTTATAAGCCAGCTACCCTTTCTCCACCTCTTCAAACGCCACCCTCCTATGACTTCGGAGAGCTGGCAGCATGACCCTGAGCTCGGCTCCTGCGTCCTCCGCCCGCAACTCCTGCCAATAGGTGGGTGCCGGGAGGCCCGTGAGTCAGAGGCTGCGTCTGAACAACCCATCTCCAGGGGCGTAAGGTTCCCCAGGGTGAGGCCCCAGGCTGTCTTGGTAAGCCTGTGTCCAGCTTCACTTGTAACAAGCAGCAGGTCGCTCTCCTGGACGAGAAAACGCGAAGGACAGCTATACTTGCTGACAGGGAAGGCAGCCAGCAGCCCCTCTGGTAGCCGCGTGTGCGGGCACCCTCCCTGGGGACTGCCTTCAAATCGACAAGCCCCTCCATGGGGGCAGCGAGCCCACCTTCCGTCGGACCACGACACCGTGCGCACTGTTCTGGTAAACTGCCCCCTGCCAAATTCAAGCCAGACCCTTGGCTGTGCACGTCACGACCTCTCAGAGAAGGCCCTGAGCCTGGAGTCTGGTAGGGGCAGGGCTGAGCACTCCCTCCGGGAGGGCTCGCCCTGCAGTCGGTGGAGTGCTGCACCGCCCCCCACCCCGGGCCTGGCCGGAGTTCGGAGAAGACGGGCCGCAGTGAGCGCAGACCCAGCCCAAGGCTGCCGAGGCCCTCCACCCCCAGACCAGGCAGCAGTGCCCGGCACCGACCGGCAGGACCAGCAGACGCTGTGGAGACCCACATGGTGCTGGACTCTCGTGGCTCCAGGAGACCAGAAGCCTCAGAACCACTAAGCTTCCACCATTCCCACCTGGCTGCCCAGGGACGGCTGCTTCCAACTGGTTGGAGCCCCTAACCGGCCGGAGCCCCTAACCAGTCAAGAGCCAAATCAGCCAGGTCTCCTTAACCAGCAGCATTTCCCTAACCGGCCACGTGCCCCTAACCAGCCACATCCCATGTCCCCCAACCAGCCACATCCCCCTAACCAGCCAGGTCCCCCTAACTGGCCGCGTCCCTCTAACCAGCCGCATCCCATAACCAGCAGTGTGTCGCTCACCAGCCGCATCTCTGACCAGCCACGTCCCCTAACCAGCCATGTCTCCTTAACCAGCAGCATGTGCCTAACCAGCTGCATCCCCCTGGCCGTGTATTGCTCCCCTAACCAGATGAGTCTCCCTAGCAGCTGGTCCACAGTCCACGAGCCCCACCTAAAATAGGGCCAGTCTGGCCTGAGCGCAATCCTCCCCGGCTTCTCAGGTCGGAAACAGGGCTGTGCGGAACATCACCCCTGACCGGTACAGGCCAGCACGGCCCCAGAACACACCCAGGCCCAAAGCTGCAGACACTATTTTGGAAACGAAGCCATACCAGGGCTGGTAGGGACATTTCTCCACCACTGGCGAAGGCCACAGGAGGTGGCCCAGTGGCAACTGCTGTCACACTCTGCAAGTCCCCCAGCTGTGACAAGGCCTCCGGTCTCGGCACAGGACCAGCAGAGCCTCTACTGTGCCAGGACATCACGGGGGCCAGCACAGAGCAGGGACAGTCCTGTTGGCCACCATGCACATCAGCCGCTACGGGTAAGAGGGTGCGGGTGGGCACACGCTGTCCCCGCTGCGGCCCTCCCGCTTCGGAGACGCCGCACCACCCAGGACGGGCGCCGGGCACCTCTCAGTGAGCTCCTGGCAGAGGAGGCTTCCCAAAGCACTGCGGGGGGAGGTTCTGCGGGCTTAAAGAAGTGGAACCCGGCCCGCCCTGCACCGGGAAGCAGAGAAAACGTGCTTTCTTCACGGCGGTCATCAGTGCCCCACACGAAAACTAAGAGCTGTCCCCTGCGTCTGAGAGCCCCACGGCTGCTGTCTTCCTTACCTGGACCCCGGGTGAGCGCTGCAGTGTGGTGGTGGGCTGTACCGTTGTCTGGGCCTGAGACACTTGCTTGATTATGGTAGTGGGGGCCACCTGCCGTGCGATGATGGGTGTCCCAGGTGCCTGGAAAACAAGTCGGAGGCATCTAAAGGAGCCGTGGTGACATAACTGCCCGCCCAACCACGTGGCGGAAGACCAATCCCTGAACGTGTACGCCGGGCGCTCGGGGGCCTACGAGCTCCGGCTCTCCAGTGAGGTCGCTGGAATTCCCACGTTCCCTAACCAAAGTGAGGGCATGTGCTCGAAACCTGTTCACGGACAGTAAGAGAAACGCCATCGGACTTCTCTAACATGGGCCCAGAAGCGAGGCCTCTCAAGAGCGGACAGACGAGGGGTCAGGCCTGTGCTGCGGCCACACAATCTTAGCAACCAGCTCCAGAAAGGGGCGAAGGCGCCGAGGAGGAAGTGACGCGGCCAAGCCAGACTGAAAGACACCTCGAACCGAGCCATGTGGACAGACGCGGCAAACGCTGCAGGTCAGGTGGCACGGGCACCATCAAGGCTACGCAGAGACCATGAGTGTCCGTGTCCACGTCGGACCACGCAGACACCACTCCGTACCACATCCACCAGGCAGGACGTCTCCAACAGGACACGCCCGGCTACAGGCGCAGCAGCAGCTCCAAGAAGGACACGAACTGGCCACAGGAGGGGAAGCGGCCTCCACG